GATTTTCTGCTTTAACTGTGTTTTACAACTGCCTATTCAGCTACTAGTATTGCTCTCATTAGAGAAGGACAGGGTCTACAGTAAATAACTCAATGTGATCATTTGATTAACATTCATCTCCCTCACTCAATTGTGAGTTTCATGACAAGGTGCATGTCTCTTTTGTTCAACCTGAGTTCTAGTGCCTACCAGTGACCCATAGGAAGTACTCAGTGTTATTCTGAATAAATAAATGAAAGATCATTTCCCTTTATTTTGTGCTGTGCAGACACAACAGATAATATAGCAAAATATTCAAGCATATTCTTTAAAATGCTCAAAGCAGTGAAAAGAATTATCTTTCAAAATTCTTCTGAGCACTAAGTGATAACTTCAACACCGTGGCAGATGAGACAGTATGTTGGGGCATATTGGAGGATAGGGGTGTCTTTTCTTCCCCACAGATATGCCAGCCCCCTGTTTTGTCTGAATAGGACTCCCCGATGGCTGTGGATCTGAACCAGAGAACCAAGGAGGCATTTCTTACTTTTCTCTCCTCTCTTTATGCTGTAAGAGATCTATCCTCCTCCATTATCTAGGCTTACTGAACATAACAGAAGGTTTTAATCCATGAAAATGAAAAGCTTTTCACATTTCAACTCCATTTCCTGCTCCTCTAGGTAAAACAAACTTTCCCTGAGGAAATGAGGTAAATGTGCTCAAATATTCTTAAAAGACCCCTCATAGCACAAAATATTTATGAACTAAACCATGTTTCTTTTCATTTACATGTAAAAAGAAATATGTATGTGGTAGGGGGGAAAATACAGATTAGAGGAAATGTTTTCCAATCCCTACTTCATTGTGATCTCTCTCCCAACACTGATTTCCTTGCCTGTAAAATGGGGTTGGTAAAAATACATCTTACCTATCTTATAGAATTATTATGAAGGATCAAATTAAATAATATACATGAAAATCCTGGAAATACTACAAAAGGTGATGCAAATGTTTACTGTCGTTGTTGCTACAAGATCCCCAAGCCCTGTTTCCTCAACAACTTCAGTCCCCGCCCCTCTCTGTGCCTGGCAGGCTGTATGCCATTCATTTTCCTTTAGCACAGACAGAGCAATCTTCTGTTATGTCACTTGAGAAGATGTTGAAGGCTACTGATTTTGGAATAGACAGAAATGGTCTTGTTCCCACAAACCTTCTGGGAAAGTCCATGTCTCCTACCATACACTTTTCAAGGCAGATATACGAAGGGGTATGAATCAAATTCCTTGTGAAAACTGTAATTTCATTGCCAGTATGGGTTTAAGCTTTAATGGCTTTGGTGTCCATTTGTAAAATGTCATCTCTGTTGGTTCCATCCTAGTAGCTCAAACAATAGAAAACCACAAATCTACTTCCTTTAATAAAATAGAAAAGTCTACATTCTCTGTATAATATATGTGCACTCAAGCGATACTAATTTCTTCTACAATTACTTTAAATTTTTAGCATTTTTATTTGGCTCTTATACTACATAATTAATGGTGTTTACATGGAAAGTTTCTTTAACTAATGTAAATGGTATTAGTGGATTACTGAGCAAGGCTTAAATACAAATAAACATTTTTCTCCTTTTAAAATTTTCTTAACTCTCCTCTGAATGTCTGGCACAAGAGTGGAGTTTTTTAAATGTCAAGGGGGATATAGAGATCAGGCTTCTGAAGTCCATTCTCCCCTGGTTAGAAAGGCTTATAATTCTGTGTCCTGTAATGGTTGGCCTGGGGGAGTCAACAGTGACCTTGTTGACCCAGCACATGCAGACTCAGGAGCCTGTCTTTTCTTTGGGAGGTTGCCACTGTTTTTCTCCATGACCTTAAACATAACACGATATCTGGCCCTTACAGATCATTTCCTGCAGAGTTTGCAGGACTGGAGATGAGATACTCATATGATGAATAAGCTTACTATAAGGTACAGGAATAAAACCTACCAGGTTTCTAAATACCTCCATCATCATGATTACATTACCCAATTGTGGAAATTACTGGGACTGTCCCTCCCGGTCAAACCTCTAAATACATATATTTTGACTGGCAGCATGGAGCCAGGTTACTGTAAAATACAGTTGGCATGACAGTCACTATCTGTCAGGACATACATTATTTTTATAAGGTATTCACAAGGGAAAGCATTGACATAAAAAATAAAAAAAAATTTTAAAAAGACATTTCTTTACTCCCGTTCTCCCAGAAGCCAGAGGGTGGGAGGGAAGATGCCTCCCTCCACACCACACATCCAGCCCTAAAGAGGACAGGTGAAGCCTGACTCCAGGTCATCTCTGGAAGAACACACAATGTGTCCTCAGTTTAAAGTAGCCTTGGGGTAATCTCAGGAGCTGCAGACCAAACTGAATACTAGCAGGCTTTCTCTAGAACAGTCTTCAATCTCAGAACTGACCATAGAGCGGGCAGAGCCTTGAGATCTAAAATAAAAATTCAACCCAGGTGAGTTCTGAGCAGACATTCCAAAACACAGAGATCCCAGCACCAGTCCTGTTCAGATTTCCAGGGCTGGCTTGGGATTGGAGTCCAGACCTAGAGGACTGGTCAAATGACTATGACAAGCACATTTTGAGTGAGCAAAATTGTGCAAGACCCATCACTATACTAAGATCTTCACATCACTTGAAACGTGTTAAAATGTGTACATATCCCACATTTAATAATTTTGCAAATAAAGAATTTTATAATTTTGCCTTTGAAATTTGGTTAAAATAACTAACTTAAAATATGCTATGATTGCTCAACACTCATATATACTTAGGAACTCTCATTCAATAAGAGCATCTCATCTAAAAACTGTTTTCAAATGTAATGAAATTGTTATGAACACTACATCCAGCAATTGATGAAGTTGACTCAGTATTATATTTGTGACCATTTAATAAATGTTTATTAAATTTGCTTAGAAGTTTTCTTCTTTATTTTGGTTACAATAATTCTTTCTCCTCAGACTCTAGACATTTTCCCAAGCACAGCTTACATGCCCAGCATTGTAGGTCCTGTTCCTACAAGTTAAACTGGTCCTCTGGGCTCCTGGCACTCAGCCAAGCACTCCCAAAGTGACTGGACATTAACTACAGTGCATTCTCAAGGATTCCCAGCCAATCTGTGGGACTTCAGACCTGAACCAAAATAATCATATGGACGCACTAAGTCTTGTGCCATCCCTTGAACGACCTAAGAAATTGTTACTAATGAAACTAAAATTCTAAAAATTTGTGAATTTATGCCTCCTTGGAGAAATTTACCCATAACCAATGCTAAAAGCCTTTACTGTAGGCCTTTGATGAAATCATTCTTCTCCTTCAATGGATGAAATCAGGATTCACAAATCCAATTTATTTTGTTTTTCAACAAGAAACGAGATTTGGAAGCTGATATGGAGTTGCACTTGTGGGAGGCTTTTCTATCACTCCAGAAAATGTGAGTTATGCATGCTCCCCAAGGTGTTTATAACTAGGCCCAAGATAACATCTTTAAAGACAACATCAGCAACTGTTAGGTAGAGTGCACTTAGTGGACTGACTTATTTTTACCCCTGAAAGATTAGGTCTTATCAGAGTGTATCAACTCAAAAATAATCACAGGTAGTCTGTTGACAGTCACGAAATCCCCTCTTTTGCTATCAGCAAATGCTGAAGTGATAAAGAATTTGAAAACTACTTTCTAGATATGTCCTCTAACAATGTCACGTAAATAATGTGATTTGTTTAAAGGATTTACTTCTGATCTTGGTTTGTGTTTTAAAAAACACCAAAAACATATTGAATGTATAGTGGTAAACTCATGGATACTGGCATCAGACAGCATGAGATGGAACCCTAACTCTAGTATTTTCTAGCTTTGAGAACCAGGCAAGTTATTAAGTCTCCATTTTCTCATCTGTAAAATGGTACTAAGAATACTTAATAGGATTGTCCTCGGGATTAAACAAATTAATTAGTGTAAAGCTGTTGGTGAGCAATCAATAAATGTTAACTTTGAGTATTACTCTTACTATTCATCATTTTCTCATTATTTACAGTACCACCATTCAAACCACACCTACCCCCAGACTACTTAGCTGCCTCCTCCCTTTCCTGCTTGCACTTTGCTCTCACCTACCCCAACACCCTCTCATCTTAAAGCTGAGTGATCCCTTCAGAATGGAAAAGCGATCAGTTCAACCGCCTTCCCAAATACAAACAAAAACAAAAACAAAAATTCCTTCAGCTACCCTCAGCTACCCTGTAAGACCCGATTCCTGCCCACACTCTTCAGTCTATTTCCACTTCTTTCTCACTCCCTCTATGCTACTGCCATGCTTGTCAGTCTTCTGCACGTTGACCATGCCGACCTCTCCTCAAGTACAGCCCTTCCCAGGCCTGGAGAGCTCTATCCCTGACGCACTAGGCTCCATATACATCCCAGCCCAAACCTGTGTAACTACAACACATTTCTATTTTTTCATAGGACCATATTCCTTCCCTATCAAAGCACTACGCTCATTGAACACGACCTACATAAAGGATCATTTCCTAAGGCCTGACTTGTCCATACAATTTTAAGTTTGCAGAGGGTACAGTCGCCAGTTTCGTTCAGAATCGTGTTCTTCAAAACCTAGGTCAGTCCAGAGCTGGAGGAGGACAGTAAACATTGAATGAATGAAGGAAGGAAGGAGCTAAAATGGAATGGACTGCACATTCTCAAAAAGTTGGCTAGCACACCTGACACTTGTTGTTAAATAGTCCCCAAACACACCGGGTCACTTTTCCGGGCCCCTCCCTTTTTTTTTACAGTTGGCCTCCGTTTTTGTGTAACTCTTCACTCGTAACAGCCTAGGTGCCGACACCCTTCAGCGGGGCGATACGCTCAAATTTGTGAGAAGAGCCTTGAGCACGAGCAGCAGTCGGAGCGGCGGCGGACCAGGCGGAAGTGCGGGGCGCGGGTTTGGCGCAGGGCCTGCTAGGGCGGAAGTGCGGAGCCCAGGGCGGAGGCGGCAACGTAGCTGGCGGGAGGTTCAGGTGGGTGTCAGTGACCCTGCACCGGCAGGTGGGCGCTCGCGGACCCTGCATAGAGCCTGCAGGCAGGCGAGAGAAGGGTGCAAAGGAGCCCCTGGCTGTGCCGCACACGGCCAATTTCGATTGTCGTGAGAGGGACTTTAATTAAACCGGGAACCATAAATCCATGAACCACCCGGCAGGGGTGCGGGGGATTGTAAGTGAACGTGCGTGTGTGTGTGGGTGTGTGTGGGTGTGGGTGTGTGTGTGTTCGCGCGCGATGGCGCTCTGGGAAGTGAACAAAATGACGGACGGAAAAAGGCACCTTTTAAAGAGAAAGTAGAAAACATTTTAACTTCATGCTGTTTACAGTGATTCGCAGATGCCCCGTCCTTGATTCAATTAACTTCTGTGAGGTGACAGTATAATTTAAATTGGCAGCCCGCTGAGATGACTTTTTATTTTTAAACAAACATTTTTGAGCAGCCATGTTGACCTTTAATTGGAGTTGAAAAGGTTGAAAAATGCAATAGGGAACAGTGTGAGCCCAGTGCTCTCTGGACCTCCCCTCTGATTTATTGGGCAAAAGCAGCCCTCTGGGTGCTGAGCAATGAGAGGATAAATCAGAGGCTGTACAGTTCTCAACACTTAACCTTGTCTGTTACCCCCGACAGATACCAGCTCATGTAATTTTTTAATAAGTCCAGAGGTAGAAAAGTCCCATCCACATTATTACTAACATGAATAGGCAAGTGCGTGTTTCTAAGGCTGTTTTTAACAAGGAGTTTTTGGCCCGGGTGGTCTTGATTCTTGTTTTTTTCATAGAAAGCTCTATAAGATACTCCATATTTTAGAGCACTTTTTAAAAAATCCACAGTATGGCCCTGCTCTACCCCCAATTCCCAGCTCTTCCAGGACAGGGATAGTGTCTAGGATCTCTTATATCCCAACCCTTTCTAGCACTTTTACTAACATAAGCAGGGCTCCTATAACTACACAGCCACTAGAGCCATGTCTCAGTGTACGTCACATGGCAAAGTTGAGGTGGCTATTAGAGGCCACATTCTTCTCATTTAGTGACTATCTGAGGAATTGCTTATGAAAATGCATAAGAAGCTCTCTACAAGTGTTTGGAGCTCAATATATTGAGATTAAAACACTTGGAAAAAGAAGTATACCCTGGAAATAGTGAACGATTATTGTAATACTGGAGTAATCCTTGTTCTGTGTGAAATTCTGGAGCCTAATAACCTGGGTTCTGCTCTGCTCAGGAATTGCCTGAAATCAAAAAGGTCCTGTCATGAAAATTAACATTGGTTGGGCTGGTACTTTAGGCAGGCAAACTCTCTAGATTTTCTTTCTTCATGCTTGCTGTGGTCAGTAGTAGCCTTCTGCTCAGGAAAGATCAGTATTTTTTTTGTCTCCTTCACCAGAGGAAAATGTGGCTCTGTGGTTTTATTTAGGGGGATTGACGGTAGCATAGAAGTGAGGATTTTTCAGCTTGGAAATTTATTTGACTGTATTTCTATTTTATTCCAGATGCCTGACTCTATCATACTCTTAAGCACCCAGAGCTATGCCTTCGAACTAAGTTATTTTTTGTTATTAAAGTTTTTGTATTTCATGTATGCCTACTCTAGCCAGCTTATGCCTTCAGTTACTTTAATGCTAGGGCTCTAGGTTTCACATGTTAGCAGGAACTTGAGATGATCTGGTATAAGTAGTGAGGTTTGTTTTTTTGGTTGTTGTTGTTTTTTTTAATGTTCCTTATTTTAAATCTAATCTTGCTATTGCTTTATTCATGGAGTGTACATCAGAGGAAGCCAAAAGCCAGCTGGAATAGTTCCTGCATGCAGTTTTAATCTTGTTTGCAATTATTTTGAAGGGGAGAAACCATCTGGATCCAGAGATGTGTAGCTACACAGGTAGCAGGGTCTAGGCAATCTTCCTTCATCCTTTCCCCAGTTACCACACAGCCTGTTCAAGGGACAAAATCATTTGAGGAAGAATATGCAAAATGAAAGGTTTGGTTAAGCTTCACATAGATATTATCCCATATCTCTAACTCCCCATCCCAGTTATAGCCACGGGGAACTAGAAGCATAAAAACATTACTTACTCTCTTTTAATTTCAATCCTTACCCAAAATAAGGTTTCCAGAGATAGAGGCAAAACTCAAAATACCTTCTATTTTAAGATAGTATCCATCTCCAAGGATTTCAAAGCATTTTACTGGTAATATCAGTAACAACTATTTTCACTGCTATAGGCTTCATCACTGCAGTATTGTATTATTTATTTGTAAATCTTTTTCCCTCCCAAGATGTGAGTTCCTTAAGGGCAGGGAAAGTATCTTAATCACTTATATTTCTAGTAGCTGGCACAGTGTCTGACACATTGCAGATACTCAGTATATGCTATAGAAATAGAAAGACAGCATCCCTATAAGGATTGTTCAAACATCAGTAGGAATGCAGCAAGATAGAGAAAAGAATATAAAACAATTACCTTTCAAGGGGTTACTAGATGCAGTGATGAATGCTGCAGTTATTAATGCTTTAATAAAAAACCTGGAATGGGGAAACACATATTTGAGAATCCATAGATATGATCACCAAACTGCCTTCAAGGGAGACTTGGCCTAGTCGGTGGCAGGGCCTTGGTTGTTTTGAATGGAATATGCAAGCTGAAAGGCCCCACCAGACCTGTCTCCACCCTTCCTCCAGCCTGCCTTGTCGGGTATTCAACTCCTCACCAGAACACATGTTGAGCGAATACAGGGTCCATCAGAAGCAACACCTGCTTGAGTGTGGTTTGTAGGCTACGTGACTGTCTTGCACAAGATGGACAGCAATTTGAACATTTCATCTGAAACATCATATGGTGTGCTTGAGTGTGATATTATTATGTTACAGAATTACATACTTATGATTTGTAATTAAAAAAAGGGTATTATTTGTGCTGGACCCTGTATTTGAATAGTATCATATGAAGATATACTAAATTATTAGTTTACATAGGGTACTGATATCTTGGTTTGGTCCTGCCTTAAGGACAGAGGGTCCTATGTATGGTCACTATTTTCAGACTAGGTTGCCCAAATAATATTGAAGAAAAGCCACAATCATCTTTTCTACTTTTCTAACATTCCAAGGGAGTTCTAAGTCAACAGTTTTTTGTGTGGTAATTGGGTGGGCATGTGGTATTTGCTGCTTCCTTCTGTTGCCAATGGAATTGCAGCAGAAACCAGAATGTTACTACTGGAAATAAATGAACTTCCTCTCTTCATTCCTGTACTTTTCATATTAATCATGAAATAATGGGGAAATGGCTTCTAGTTTAGTTAGGAGGAAGACCATGAGATTATTTGCTTTTTAACAGTTTATATCTTTATGGAATGAAGAAATTTTCAAAAGAGAAACGATACTGTTACTTAACAGAAAATCAGTAGGTTAAGGCAAATTAGGACGTAAGACTGAAAAAAAGATCTAAATTCAATCTTGTTTCTACAGGTTCAAAAATGAAATTAATCTGAATCTTTTTAGATTTAGAGATCAAAACCTCGTTCTTATTGTAAAAGAAGTCTGCCATCTAAAGCTGAGATTTTCTTCATTCTCTCGATCCTTAAATTAGGCTTAAATAAATGTGGTATCTGTTATTTGGTATACTCTGAGAATTAATGTATAAAGCTTTTTGAGATTTTTTTTTAAAGGGGGTTGAACTTGGAGGCCCCTTTTAATTTTGAAAATTCTGTGTTGGTCTCAGTATGTATTAAATAGCCATTGTTCAGGGAGAAAATATAGAGAAATGAACAAAAGCAGTATGGAAGGCTTTGGTTCAGCATTAGTTTCTTTATCTGTAATGCAAAGGGATTTCCAAAGTCACTTCTTGTTCCAAAATATCTTATCAGTGTTAGCTGTTAAGTAACAGTACTGGATTCAGAGGATTGTAGAATCTCACATAACTGAGGGTTGCTAGCGCCTGACCTCAACAGTGGATGGCTCCCAACATTCAGACTGAGCACAGTACTCCATGGGCCTAGGTACTGTTGGTATCACAAGTCAAAGGAAATGTTAGAGTTAATAATTCATATGCTCCAAAGTCATTTGCCACAAAATGGCTAAAAATGAATGGAATATCTTTCAGGTCTTGTGTGGTCATGAAGATAATTTTGCCTCGTAGGCAAGGTGAATTGGAAAAGGAGTGTTAGTGATAAATGGAAGGCATTGCCTGAATGAACAGATTTTGAACTGAGAACTGTTGTTTTTGGAAATGGGATTTTGTGCTTTTTAAATAGTAAGGAAACTGGCATTACTAGCTGGGTACAAATAAGACTTAAGATGTTTTAAGAATAGTGCCTTCTTTCTGGGTCAGTATTAAGTATCAGATATCTTCAAAGGGAATGGGTCATTTTAGTTAAGAAGGATAATGAGGGAAGGAGTCTACATAATTCCATATGCACTTTGTTCTCATCCCTTGAACTAGAATGATTTTGCCCTCATCTTAATGCTATCTTTATGGAATGAAGAAATTTTCAAATTGGTTTTTAAACTCTATTAAGCACTCATGTATGATATAACCCATCCACATTATTCAAGTTTTCTTGGCTTTCAGGAACAGCTCTGCAGCCATTATGTCATAACTGTACTGAACATTGTTGCTTACCCTGAATTCAGAATATGCCTCTCTGGCTCCAGGCCAGATGCTGAGTCAGTGTCTTTGGGGTTGAGGATAAGGGGAAGTGTGTACTATACACAAAACGTGTGTGTTATCAGGAATTAGTCCAGAATCTCCTTTGGACCCTTGGGTGTTAGAGGGAGTATATAGTAACAATACATTACTGTTCTTAATTAGTATTGTTATTTAATTTTTCTCAGCTGAATGTTTTTCTGGAAACCCTTCCCTGACATTGTAATGTGCACCAACCCCATTACCAAGTGGACTCCTTTGAAGCAATGATCTGGAAAGTGTGACTACTAAGGTCCAAAGATTCGAAACAAACTCTTGCTTACACTAAGTATTCC